TTTTTAAAACATAATCATTTTAGAAGTAACAGTTGTGATACACGTCAAGTATAAAAAGATGGTTAGAGAAATAAAAAAAAAAAAGTGATAAAACAACGTGTTTTTAGGCCATTCAAACAAACATGAATGTTTGGGAGGAAAATTAATTAATGCCCAGTAATCAGAGAAGTGTTCTTAAGGTCTTTTCATTAAAAAAAAAAAAAGGGAAAATCGTCCAAAACATTCCTCACATTTTGTAAAATAATTTTTTTCGTCCCTCACTTTTAAAAGTGTAATTTTATATCCCTTACATATTCATATCGGACAAATTTAGTCCATAACTAGGTTTCCAATCATTTTTTGGCCGGAATCCATCATGTGCAAGGCACATGATCATTTTTTAAGGGTAAATTTGTTAAATTATATTTTACATAATCTGATCTATAGTTCTCCACATTTTATAAAATAAATTTTTTCGTCCCTTATATTTTATAAAATGATTTTTTTCATCCCTCACATTTCACAAAATGAATTTCTCCATCCCTCACATTTCAAAAAATGAATTTTTCATTTCTCATTAATTATGTGTGTGAATAAATTTTTTTAAACACATGTATATGTCTATTTGATTTTGCTTAATAATAATAGCATAATAATAATAGCATAAACACATGTATGTAATTGGGCCAAACTTGTGGGCTATCTTCTCTTTTTGTATGATTATGACTAATATTTACCAATAGAATCTTAATTTGCATATTCTTATTGTATTTTGACCGAAAATAACTTTATTGGCCAACTTGACAATGAATGCAAGATTATTTACTAGCTAATACCAGATGAAATCAAATGATCACGTATAATATATGGTATTCGTATTGTTAAGTGAAATCAAATAGACACATACATATATTTATGCTATTCGTATTATTAAACAAAATCAAATAGACATATACATGTGTTTAAATAAAATGTATTCAAACACATTTTTTTTTAGGGTTTCCCTCACATACATAATTAGTGAGGGATGGAAATATTCATTTTTTGAAATGTGAGGGATGGAGAAATTCATTTTGTGAAATGTGAGGGATGAAAAAAATTATTTTATAAAATGTGAGGGATGAAAAAATTTGTTTTATAAAATGTGGAGAACTATAGATCAGATTATGTAAAATATAATTTGACAAATTTACCCTTAAAAAATGATCATGTGCCTTGCACGTGATGGATTCCGGCCAAAAAATGATCGGAAACTTAGTTAGGGATTAAATTTGACCGATGTGAATATGTTAGGGACATAAATTACACTTTTAAAAGTGAGAGACGAAAAAATCATTTTACAAAATATGAGGGACGTTTTGAACGATTTTTACAAAAAAAAAAATAAAATTCTAGTCAGTGAAATGCGCCTCCGTAGTCCGTTCCTAATTTTACAACCATGAACTGTTGTACGTGTAAAGCAATTTCTTTTGAAAACGATGTCGTTTGGAATTAGTAAAAGGCGCGAATAATCACCCAAATCGCCGGCGATCAAGCGGTTGTTCATATCTGCCTCTTTTGTTATATCAATTGGAGGCGTGATACTTGTACGAGGCTACGAGTACTATCAATCAATCTATACTAATGAGAGGCTTGAAAATGGTCGAGCCCTCGGCTACACGCCTTTAAGGGGCATTGGAAGTCGTGCTATGAGTAATCTGATAGAATCGCGCTTCCACTGAAGAAGCAAGAGCAGCATAGAAGTACGTGTACGCGAATTAATGATGGGATGAGTTCCATTCTTTCTTTCCCTGAACGAGGACAAGAACGATCTAAGATGATATTGAATTGGCCCTCCATATTTGTCCAACCCAAGCTTCCCATGGTAAGGACAGCTTGCTTTGCTTCTGGTGTCAACACAGACCAGTTGAGAGAACAACTTGATAATCTTCACAAGGAAGCAGAAACCACCAGAGCAAAAGGTAAATTTTTTGTTCTCGAATTTTTTTTCTTGCTTATTTACCATGGACCCATTAGAATTTTCATCTTAAAGTTATGTTCTTTACACTTATTTTAATGTAATTTTGGTGTTTTTCTTCGATTTCTTGAACTGGGATATATCCATAGTTGCAGAAAATTTACAATCTTTATATGTGCTGTGCTTCAATTTGATAAATATTCTTTTAGCTATCATGAAATTATGTGCGGTTTTTATCAAATGGCTTTTGCGTAATCTGGAAATTTGTGTAGAATTCAGTTTGTGGTTGAGGTTTTAGTACCTGGATGTGGTGGTGATGTATGGAAATTGAGGGGAATTCCTATCTTGCAATTTTTTTTTTTGTTTGGTTTCATACATGTTGTACTCTGAAAGAACATAAAAGAAATATATCAGTCCATAGGTATCTTCATTGGAGCACTGAAATAGTGTGAGTGAATAAAAATCGAGATTACAACCATATTAAGTGGATTTGGGGTCAATTTCATGTGTTTTTCGAGTGCCTGAGTAACCATTCTTTCTCACTTGACATCTGTGTTGGACAGTTGATAGTATGTAAGTGGTTATTATTTCAGCCAACAGTGCAAGATTGAGGTTCCTGAGGTTGTCTGAGGCTGCAGAGAAGCTTCGGCAACAGGCTGCTCTCAGTGTTCAAACAGCGAAGGAAAATGATGCTAGGGAGCTACTTCTTCAAAAAAGGAAGGTTATGCAGGCAATGGAGAAGTCAAAGAATCGCATTGAGTTGCTTGATGAGCTCGCAGCAAAGCTAACTGAGGTATCGACTTCCTCACTTTTGCTTACATAGCCTGTCTGAAGAATGCCTTACGGTTTGCAGGACATAAAAACCTGGCCTTTTATTGAGGGGTTAATTTCTTTCCAATAAAACTGGTTCTCACTTTAAGGCCCTTTAGGGTTTCCATTTTTCTTATTCCTATGGTGCCTTAAGCATAATTACGTGGGTAGTTTTATGCCACTGTCTTAATAAACGGGCATAAGTTTTGAATAAAGAGGAAGCATAAGTCAGCTATTGGTTGGTTGAATACAATCATCCCAATTCTGTTTGCCAAAATGATTATGTTGAAGACTTCCTCCTTTCCCTCGATCATCATCCTAAGCTTCATCTATATCAGCTGCAAAAATAAAAGTTTTTTTTTCCATGTTTAAAGTGTTTCTTTGTGTTCATATTCGTGATCTGTGATCTTAATTTGGAAAGCCATCCCTCCTTATGTGTTTATTCTTCACTTTCATATGAAATAAGCTAAAAGAAACTAATTTTTAGTTTTAAAGTTGGATTTAAAACGAAGTATTTTAATTAACAGATTGTAATTTCTTGTAATGGGTTGTACTGAGTTCATAAATATTGCACTCCTATATATCAGCATTTTGTTTGGCCTGAAAAGGCTACTTTCCACAGGCTGCTGCATTAGAAATGGCACTTTTACTGGCTAATTTTCTTCACTTTTGCTGCCTTTAGTGCCATGTACTTTGTCTCATGGACAGGGTGACCACTAAAATTTTTCTGTCTCTTTTACTTCATGGTGGGCACTTTTGGTTTTAGGTGATATCAGTCAAGGAAACCGAGCTGATTGGGAATGTCGCTTTGGATCTTGAGGTTGGTGGGGATGCTGCTCCGACCCCTGTCAGATTCATATCTCCAAAAGAGGAAGTTCTGAAGACTTCCACTGATGTTAATTACTTTGACCAAAATGAAAAGCTTGGTCAGAATGAGGAATTGGAGGGTGCTGCTTTGAATCTGCCAGAACTGCATTCCAGCGATGAGCTGAATAATAGGGAGCAACCAGTGGATGGAGACGTTTGTAAAGAAGATGATGAAGTCCACGGTGTGAAGGAAATATCCTCCTATGAGGACTTTTTGGAGTGTATTGATTGTCATCTCCACAAAGTTGAAGTTGAAATTCTTTCATTACTAAAATTTTCACGACTAATACTGGAAATCAAGGAAAATGAAGAAAACTCGAAGGTGCAGCATGTGGTGGAAATTCTTAAGGATGTTCTACATATTAGAGAGAGGTAGCGCTTCCAACCTTTAATCAGTTAATTAACTAGAGTCACTTGTTGTTGAAATTTATGCCATATTATTTCCTCTCCATTCTTTGACCATTTTATGATTGGTAAATTCACAGGATAGGGAGCATCAAGAAAACTGAAGTGGGAATCAGATAGTTTTTAACTCTAACAAAGTGGATCTCCTCCAGCAGCTGCAATATGTCTGAAAGGATAACGGCATGTCTTTGTTGTTTGAACGATAGTTCATTAAAATGGCAATCTCAGTGGGAGAGTTTTGATGATAACAAAGAAAACAAGCATGCCGTAGAGAAAATGGAAGTTCTTGATACTTTGTTTTTTCCATCTAATGCAATGTTGGTATTAATGTGGTTTTTGACATCTTATGGAACCTAAGTGATGTAAATAAATATCCAAGTTTATCTGTGTCTTACTGCCATTATATGTTTTCTCCATTTAGTTCCATTTCTGATTTTTAAATTCACTTCCAAACATTACAAGTTTTTGCTGATTAAACAGATTCATGAAGCATCACAGTTCTTTCTTCTTAGCACTTTCCCATGCGTTGCTTGCCCGAGAGGCCTCTTTAAGGGCCTTTTTTCTAATCTGAGGTCTTTCAAGAATGATGAAGTGCTATTCCTCCTAAAGATTGGGTTGTTTTCAGTTTTAAGTTATGATTGCAGAGGTCAAAAAGCTTTAGGTGCAGCAAATGTAGTTTCTGAGCAATTGAATTGTTCATTCAGAACTTGCTTTTTGCTGTTCTACTTAATACTATTTAGAGATTGTGAAATGGGAAAGTCTGATAACCTTGAGATTGCAAGATTTTTTCTGTTTGTATGATGCATCTTAAAACATGATTTGTTTAATGTCTTCATTTATACCCATTAATTATCCCAGTCAAGAATGGCGATAGCTATTAGCTTGAAGTCCTTATTTCGGTTAGCATGTTATCGACAAGTCTTCCATCAGATAAAAATTAGTGATCCCATGGCAAATTTCTGAAGCTAGGGGTAGAAATGAATTGCATCTTGGGACAAGAATCTTTTGATGTGCTTTTTGGATGAATAGTCACAAACATCAGTGTACAAATGTGAATTCCTCCATTAGCAAGTGGAGGTAATCATGCTTCAGCTTGTAGATAGAATTTTCCAGCTGCAGTAACCTTGGAACTATATTTGACTTGAAAGCTTCCAGTAGGAATCATCTAGGTACTTATCTACATCTTGGGTAAAATGTTCAAAGGTTTATGTTTTACCGCCTCTTATGCCCATTTGCCTTCATACAGTTGGATTTTAGGTCCCAGCTTTAAGGTTAAAGATGGGGATGGTACCACTGTCTGCTGCACGCATAGATCCTGCCTAGAGGGGTATCAATTACTGTCACTTCCCATGATATCGGTAATGGTAAGTTTGCCGCAGTGGTTGCTGTCTAACATGTCAAATTGGTTGCATATTTGCTGGATGTCTTTCTCTGCTATTTTTCCCATTTCCTTCAGCTTGTAGATGACATATTCAGATTTACTGCACTCAACAAAATCTTGTAAGAATAAATTTACTGCACTCAGCAAAATCTTTAGAATATAGTGCTGCTCTGATGAAAATAATCTTAATGAAGTATAGTCCTTCAGATTTTTTTTTTTGGGTTGTGTTTTCTTATTAAAATTGGCTTTTTACGATAAGAGATATTAACTGACATTCTATTAGCTGAAGCTTTGCTCTTGAAATTGTTAGCTTGCAAGCTAGTGGTAACACCTTTTCCTTGCACAATTGAAAGGTAAAAGGAATTCTGGTTCTAGTTTAATGCTTGGAGGCATTAGTAAATGTTGAAACTCATAGCCATTATTAGCTTGCTATAAGCCTGTCATCTATTTTTAGGCTTGTTCAGATTCAAGTTTCTATATTGCCGACTAACTGTATTGAGCCATATCCTCTAATTCAAACAAGTATAGGACAGGCATCAAGAAGATGGACCTATCTGCATGACTTAATACAGTAACGGATCAATTAATTACTGGGAGTATCACAAGATACCTGATAGAACCATTGTGATCAAGATCTGCAGCAACTAGATCCCCTGGAGTCATCTTCTTTTGAAGAACCCATTTAGCTATCTTGCGATTTCTTCTGTCAATCCTGAGCTCAGTTAGATACAGAAAGGCCCTTGCAACAGCCAGAGTGCTCACCAATAGCCAGATTATGGCAAAGCATCTTCCCTGAAGCGTTGAGAAGGCATAATCCCCATATCCTACTGTAGTCACAGATGTTACAGATAAATAAAAGCTGTCAATCCAATTTTGTTCTTCTAATTTATGCACCATGACTGTTCCAATGGCTATACAACCAACTACAACTGCCAAAGCCAGTCCCACTTTGATACGTATCCTCATTCTGCCCTTTGCGGTATCTATCATGTATGCTCTAAACACTGCATTTAATCGGTTCTCATCAACGGTGCTTAACAGTACTTCCTCCTGCCTATCAAGAACATAGGTAACTAGTCCATGCAGCAATATGTCTATGAATCCAAAACCAACTAAAATAAGGGCACATGTGTACAGTTTGGTAAATGTTGTGTCTGGAACTATGTCACCATATCCAATGGTACATAGTGTGACCACGTTGAAGTATAAAGCATCTATTGGCTTCCAGGTTTGTTTACCCTTGAAACTTCTCCATGTCAGCAGGTAAATTGTGATGCCAATTACTATATACACAACTAATCCACAGGAGGCTTGCTTGACAATTGAAGGTACTGATTTTATGGCAGGTCTTGGGTCTAAAGAATCGTGGATTCCTTCCTTCACATCTGTTAAAATGGAAGGCGCAGAATTTGACCTCCTGGTGATTTTTTTCTTCTCGTTCAGATTAGCTAAAAGGTTTGCCAATGAAGATTTGGTTCTTGGTGCTGGGAAAATAAAGGAGTCGGTGTTGACAAGGTGGTTGTTAGATTGTTGTGATGGTGGCCTGATGTCAGCATAACTGGGGGACGCTCTACTTTCTGGTAATGGCTGCTTGGGTTCTTCTGCTACTGTATTCTTGGAGAGAAGCGGCTCATCCATTGAAATGAATCTGCATTTCCTTGAAACTGGGAATTGTATTCCAAGTATATTCTGTTTTGTAAAGCATCATATAGCAGCTACTAGTGTTTTGAGCTGCAACTACTCGTCAAAGCAGCGACAGAATGATAGCTTTAGCTTTGAATGCAAGGCTATGACTCTAGTGTTGGGATTGATTGGACCATAGTTTTTTGCCAATTATACTGGTAGTTGTGGAGTTTCTTCAAGAAATAACAGTGGATTTTTTGAGCTGCCGATTGTCACCCGTCCGAGTAGACTAGCCATTGACCTTATGTTTGCCTCTTTACACACATCTGTCCATAAGAACTGCATATTTTTCTTCTGGGATCATTACATAAGTATAAAAGGTACCTATCTTTTGATGGCCAGAATTGCGATGGAAGATTTGTTTTTGACAGCTTCTTTATGAGAAAATTTGGCGTGTTTATTAAGAGAATCTTGACAATGAAAATTTCGGTTTCTTGATACGTGAGGGGAGTTTCGACCCTGTAAATATTTAGAACAAAAATAAAAGGAAAGAGGGAATGGGTGTGGGAGGTTTGTGAACTAATTAAACAAAACTTGAATTAGATTTTGATGTTCGCAAAACTTGAAACGTCACATGTAATTGAATGCTACTCCAATTCAATTTGAACTAGTTAAGAGCCTGAGTAATAGCCAAATTTGGATTAACACAAATTTGACCCATTCGTAAAAGCAAACCAAATTTGAAGGATGAACTTGTTAAAGGTTCTAACCAAGGTTTGATAGAGAAGGCAAAGAAGTAAAGCGAATGGCCATGGAAGAAAGTACAATGGGTAGACTCAGGAACGTGCCATCTAGGAATGGTGAAACTTTTCAGAAATAGTAACGTATACAGTATTCAATTGGATATTTACGAGTGGAGATAATATGCCTTTTTCTAAGTAAATCCTCGTTAACTCATCTTTCTCTCTGCAACCAATCAAGTAATTTTTTTTCCCTTCTGGCAAAGGAATAGAAATACTATAATATGTTTTTGGTGATGTGTTTTGGCAGCAATTCCGATGCTTTATTTTCTTGTCAGACGTTTTGTGTCATAATGCGTAATATGTTTTGTACTGAAAGGCTTCCACACTTTTCTAACTTCTATAGATTTGCTAAAATGAAGGGCATTAGCTTATGCTCTAGTTAACTAAATCTACTCCATTTTTATTTATTTATTTTTTTGGGTTTCAAGTGAAACTCTAAATCTTACAAGGGGTTCAAGAAAATAATTTAAACAAAATATAAGCTGGCTGAGTTGTATATGATTTTGAATCTTTTTTTTTTAACCCCTTCGTAAGGACAAGGACGACTTAATTTGGAATTTGAAAGGTTGAAGTTGGAGGACAAAAGAAAATAAGAAAATATTTAAATGGAAAGTTGTGTACGTCAATCCGTTAAATTTACATGTGCTATTTAGGCAAGAAAATATGGACGGAGAATTAAAAAGCCACAATTACTCACAAGATAATGGGAGAGAGAATTGTGGGCTGATTAAATGAAATGATGAGTTTTATAAATGCAAGAACAACAAAAGGCATGTGTTTATATGTATACATTGTATGAATGAGAAAAAAGTTACACTATATAACAACATGTTATTGTTTGTATGTCCCATGAATAAAAGAGCACACGCACTTGACTCAAAATATACAAGAAAATGGATTCAATCCCTGCTTTTAAAATTGCTTTATTTATCATCTTCCTTTTTATCATTGCTGATGCTTCAACCATCTTACCACCTAAAATCTTTAATGTGGATAATTATGGAGCAAGAGCTGATGGAAGCACAGATGACAGTCAGGTTAGTTTAAAACAAGATTCAAGAATGGTGAACACAAATCCCAAGTGATTCATTCAGCACACTCGCAGTCCAAAGAAATTTATCTTCAAGTTCTTGTTTATTTGGCCAATCATTTTATCCTTCCCCATCTGGGGAAAAAAAAAATTTTATCCCTTCAAATTCTGTTAAACGAAAAAGTTGTCACATCATTTGATATGTTTGAAATGCAGAATTTTTTACTCTGTCTATTCATTTATTTTGGTTACTTTTGCCAAAGGCATTTCTGAGAGCTTGGAATGATGCATGCCAATGGAGAGGAAGAAGCAAAGTTTTGATTCCATTGGGGAACTACATGTTGAATTCTGTCACATTTGTAGGGCCATGCAATGGTGAAATGATATTTGTGATTAAAGGGACCCTAAGGGCTCCTACTAATCCTGCATTATTTTTCACTAATACTTGGATTGGATTTCGTTATGTGGATAATTTGACTCTGGAGGGTGGTGGATATTTAGATGGTCAAGGTGCTGCTGCTTGGCCTCATAATGATTGTAGCAAAAATATTGGATGTTTGCCCCTTCCTATTGTAAGTTTTAATTCCTATAAGCTGCTTTTTTTCAAGTTCTTTGCCCTCTAGGGGAAAGGAAGGATTCATTCAATCATTTATTCTAATTTTCTTTCACTGTTTTCATAAAATTCTTTGAGATGTTTGGATGGATTATCCAATATACTTTATTTTTCCCTGAATAACAAGACCAACCAACAGTCAGTTACTCATCAAGATTTTCTTCTTTTGAGGCTCATTACAGCCTATTCTTTTTCTGCAACTCGGGCTGATATCATTGTTCTTGCCCCTGCTGTGTTCTCTCAGAGCTTGAGGTTGGACTTTATTACAAATTCCAGGATACAGAAGCTAAGGTCGATTAATAGCAAAAACGCCCATGTCAACCTTTTTGCATGCAACAACATAAACATCAGTCATGTCAGGCTGTCTGCTCCAGGGAACAGTCCCAATACAGATGGAATCCATATTGGTTTCTCAAACAACATCAAGATATCAAGTGTCAACATTGGAACCGGTGATGATTGCATATCCATGGTTTCAGGCAGCCAAAACATTGTCATTTCTGACGTCTTCTGTGGTCCTGGCCATGGAATCAGCATTGGAAGCCTCGGAAGAGCCTTTGCAAAAGAATATGTGATGCACATTAATGTTGTCAATACAACTTTCAGGAACACTCAAAATGGTGTAAGGATCAAAACTTGGTCACCTTCTTCACCTAGTTTGGCTTCAGATATTAATTTTCAGGACATTATCATGGATAATGTTAACAACCCTATCATCATTGATCAAGACTACTGCCCCTTTTGCTCCCCAACGGTATGGTTGTTTTCCCCCTTGATTTGTGTTTTCAAATAATCCCCTTCATTTTGGGATAGAACAAATTAATTGTCACATCTCTTAATAATCTTTGTTGTTTTTAGGGTGGTGAATCCATCTCACAAGTTCAGATCAGAGATGTAACATTCAGGAACATTTCGGGCACATCTAGTTCAAAAGTTGCTATATACTTGCAATGCAGTAGAGTGGTGCCATGTCATAAAGTGAAGCTTGTGGATATAGACTTAGCTTACAGAGAAGCAGGAGGACCTGCAATTGCATCTTGTTCTAACGTTTATGGTGCTTCGTATGGCAAACAGGTGCCTTCTGGTTGCCTATAGTCTCAAGTCACATATTTCTCAGACTAGGACACATTCCTAACATAGAATAGATTTGATGGACATGAGTGTCCATCCAGTTAAAAATTTGACAATGTTCTGCTGTACTCCAGACAATTCAAAAACCTATTGGCGGCTCTGCATGAAGAAAGATACTTTAATTTCTCCAATTATTTCAAAGGGATTTACATATATGTAGCTGAAATTGTGCTGCAAAGCTAAGGATAATGTATGAAAATTATTTTAGGTTGCCTAATCTAGGCTTAGGTCATAATAAGATAATTTTTTCCACCGGAGAATAGAGCTCTAGCATTGGAAGAAACCTCTTCTGGTGAAGTAGATTTTCTGACCTGCGCATGGGACTCTGCATCCTGCTGAAACATACGGACTATCTCTTGGAGCTCTAATCTTCGAACCTCAACCTGCTCTTCAAATTCTGGTTTTTGCAATCCAAGATAGATCAAGCCAATGGCGATGAGCACAGCTCCAAGCAGGACGAGGGCACCAGAAAATAAGGCAAATGCAAATGGTGATTTTTCTGCTCCAGGAATTCCATCCACATTTATTCCAAAGAGTCCAGTGATAATAGAAAGAATAAGGCCACAGCCACCAAAAACCCCTAGATTATGCTGCACGCGGAGGCTCTTATCCTGAAACAACGTTTGCGGAATAGTAAGAAAGACATCCACTATAGATACGCCTCATAGCACAGAGGAAACGTTTTTCTCACAAAACAGGGGTCCAATCTACCTTTCTCAAAATATTCTCAGGACAAGGGGGAAGAAAAGGAAAGGAAGAAAGGAATGATATCATCAAGGGAAGAGAAATCTGAATGAGAACAAAATATCCCCTTCATACATAAGGAATAGACCTACATATAATTAATAATGAGAGGAATCGATAACAACCTCTTTGTGTTGCAAATAGCAGAGTATATAGGACAATCTAGAAAATACTGAACAACAGAACTTTTATTTGGGGAATAATTGAATATTGAGACAGTTGGACACAGGGATATATAAACAGAAATGTAGTAGCAGATAAATAGTTCAATTCTCCTTTCCGGTAGGGACATTTTTGAAATAGTTAAACTCAACTCATACGCCAAATCAAAATTGAAATTCTAATTCAGATATTTATACTTATAATATCTCTGACATCTAAAAAACTTGGTTTAAGTTCTTGCGTCTCAGCTCGCAAATGGTAATGAGGAACCATTAATTTGAGAGAATACTTTTAGGTAAACAGAGCTAGTATGAATGACACACTATGTAAGCATCTCATTCCATCTACCCTCATAACATCAGTCCACTTTTTCATGAGAAAAATCTAAATAATTGGTTTTTAATGAAGCATAAGGCACCTGTAACCATGCTCTTACTGTGCTCTGCATGACATCTTGTATCGTAAACAATCGACCACGAACTGCTTCTTGCTCCTGAATCATGTCCCTAGTACTCTTTCTTATACCTTGAAGCAGACTCCTTACAGTGTTACCCCTCAAATGCTGGAGAAGCTCAAAGACAATCTCCTCTCTTGCATGTAAGGACCATTTCACTCTTATAACCTGTACAAGAAACATCAAGAAAAGTACTTTTTGAAATTTGAGACAGAAGCAGAGCTAAAGAATATAATATAGCCTCTTCTAACTTCTACCACTCCTCCCCTGAGCAGCAAAACTATTTGAACGGTAAGGTACCTGGGTTGAGAGTCTTCTGATCTCTTGATTCAAAATTATGCTGAACAGGTCCATATCCTCATGAGTTCTCCTATTCAAGAACCAAACCATCACATTCCCTTGTAATGAAGTTCTTTGTATCATTAAATTTGAAATCCTTCACTATATTGTAGCACACAAGAAAGTACCTATTCATGAACTTCAATTCAACTTCATCAGCTGCTCCAAATATGTATTTCCGAAATAACCTGATCAAAAGTGAGAAAAGATGTCAGAAGGTGAAGAAATTCTTAAACAGTCTACAGTTCATACATTCAATCACTAATTATCAAGTTCAAACATGAAGACACTGCATCGAGTATTAGTACACAATAATCCTGATTGTGCAAACTGATTTCAAAGAATGGCTACTCATGAACTTATCAGGTTCAAGTCAAGTTCAGGTTTAAGTCCAAAAAGAAAAATGCTTATGTACATAACAAGATATTTCACCTGTCATCCCAGCGAGCAAGGCGACAAGCAAGGAGTGCTATGACCTCATGAATTGTTCGTGGCACATTACAACTTCCAGCAGCAAGCAATTCCTGATCAGACTACGTTTTTAGATACTAGATACAAAACATATCTAAGACTGAATTTAACAAGGCCAAAACACCCACCAGTAACTAGAAGAAAATAAAGAAGCAAATAACAATGCTATTTTCCAGAACCTGAACTGACCTGTACTTCAGCGATACCTAACACATTGATGCTTGATGAAGACCCTTTTACATGCAATGAAGTCAACAAGAAGTTTTGCGCTTGCCACGATCGCATAACAACAGGGATATCATCTTCTTCAGCAAGTGGATCGCCCACTGACTGTCCTAAGAGCTCAAACAGCAGTCCACCAGCAACTCTAACTGGAACCTTGTATTAAAAATTTTGCAGGATGTGGAAAAAAGCTTGAATCAGATCATATTGCCAGTTGCCCACTAAAGAGGAGGAACAATACTAGCACAAAACAAATTTCACACAATAACTAGGTAAATAATACAAATAATTATGTCAGAAAAATATAATACAAGATAGTTTGTTTGGACAACAAGAATTTGGAATAAAAATTTCAGATTTTGTTTTGCTTGCATCATACACACAATTCCCAATCACCTTTTTATCTCACATACATCACATCACAAAAAGTGCTACAGTAACTGGATCAAATAAATCATCCAAATAAATTCTTATCCAAACAAACTCAATAATAATGAGATACACTTTACAACATGCATATAAAGACAAAGTAAATAACCAAATTATACAGTGATCCTGCGCATAAGCCTAATTGAGATCCCTTGACACTCTTGTTTGCTTTCTTATCTACTTGTACCGCCTAAGGTAAGAGCAAAATCAAAGTCAAACTGACCACAATATTCTCAACATTTTGTACCTTAAAATTCAACTAAAAGTGAAAAATTACAAATTGAACAACATTTAACAATATCCAATATACGGCTATACATCTCACTCTGATGTACTCTTCTTTATTCTAAGCATCAAACTCCAGTATTAGAAGTGATACTGTCACTAAGAGTAGAAAAGAGAAAACAAAAAACCCAAGAAAGATAACTGCAAGATTAAAAAAAAATGAAGCGCAAGTGATTTTAAGGCCAGATTGGCACTGACGCTGGAGTTAAAGTAGTGAAGAATAGGTGGACATTTTTGAAAAAAACAAAGAGATAAAAATATGAGACTAAACCTAAGATATGAAGCTTAGATGAAAGACCAATACCAAGACAAGTGCAAGTACTGCAGAAACATAAGATCCTTAATTGTTGCTTACACTACCTGAGAATAAGATCATTTCTCTGCATCCTCATGTATCCTACTGGAGAAACATAATATCCTTAATTGTTGAATATAGAGTCACAAAAAGTAGTACCTCATAAAGCAGGTGTTTCATGCGTTCACTTATAAGCTTGCTTTCATCCCGTAAGCCAATACTGATAGCAGGATGCAACCACTGAGCATTGCTCAACCATGCATCGATAAATGGATGGCCTGCATCTACATGACACCACCAGGTTGGCCCCACAGGGCGTTCCCAATAGGGAGCTGCAACATCTGCAACCGTGACTTCTTCTTCCTCATCAGTGAACTCATTAGGTTGAGAGGCCCAATCAACATCAATTTGGACTGTCCGAAGCAGCTCTGAAATTCTGGCCCAGCCAATTGGTATCCAGTAATTACCAGTAAATCTTTCTCGTGGATGCAAGTGACCTGAGTGATAATTCTGATTATGGTTCTGCCCGTCAAAAGAATCACTATCAGATTCTACAAAGGATGCAGCTTGTTGGGCACTCTTATCAATCTCTTCCATCAAGTTCTTTGCCAATGCAAAATTAGGTGGACGCTTTGTTGCTCGAACAGAATTTTGTTGTAAAAAGCGCCTTGTACCAGCTGCCTTCCTACAACCTCGAACAAACTCAAAAGCACAAATGAGTCCATCAGTCCATAACTTGCCACCCAGCATCACATCTCTTGATAAATGCTGTTTCTGAATCTCTTGCTTCTTCATGTCATTGTTCTTTGGAGCTGAATTGTCATCAGCTACACCATCCATTGTTCTCTTTCAAATTTTCAGCTCTGCCTAGAAATAAGAAGCCAGCAACTTTACTTAGATAGACACGAGTTTTAAATCTGCAGAAGAGAATGAGAAAAGCAGACACAGAATTGAGTCATTAACTCATGAAGAGCTCCATTTTACCAAATTTATTACCACTTCGTGAAAGGAGGACAAACAAGACAATACACAGGCAACTAGCTTCATTAAACGTATGAACTGATGCTACTTATTAGTTTGTTCAAATGATGCTTTTTTATCCATTTAGATTCTTTCTGCGTAAAAGATGGAATTAAATTGGTAGAACCGTATTCAAGTCAGAGGAAAACAGATACACAGAACAGAAAAATAACTGCACTGACCAACCAAAAGAAAGATTATGCATTGTTAATGCAAAAACTTCCTCATCAAACTGACTAAAAGAAAAAGGAAAAGCTAAAAGCTAATAAATTATGAGAAATTGATTAATCTCCAGTCAAGATACCACCTTTTCCAATATAGCATGAAAAAGATGGTATAATTTATTTGGAGTACAACCAAAAATAACAAAGAAATCAACTATTTTCAGAACTCAACTTCAGAATGGTCGAATATGTATGTGTGTGTGTGCGTTTTATACAAGGGATTGCTTTAAAAATAAAAAATTTGAACTGAAAATAATCAAAAGCTGTACAGAGTTAGCACAGGAATTCAGGACATTGCTCATATGGAACAGAAGATTCAGGACAAAGAAAAGGAGACAACAAAAGTGGACCTTTAAAGCATGCAGCCAATACAGACACCGCGAATAATTACTTACATTATGATAAATTAGCCAAAATCAAGAGTTCAATCCACATATTCAAGAAAAGTAACATGTGGGACTAAAATGATGAGAGTCATATTTTAAGGTTCATACTTGAGGCACAAAAATGATTACATAATAACACAAAATGGTATGAAAAAAAGTACAAAAATGGGATTTTTTCTAGCAAATTTAAGAAGGGGCAGATAAACCCAAAACACGCTACCAGAAATTAAGTGAAGTTTTGTTGTCCAGATGAAGCTCTGGCAGCTTATAGTAGACCTCCAAGAAGGGAAAAATAGCTTCACAAAAATGGGCTTTTTATTTCCAGTTTCTTTTGAATCAAAATAGTATGTTCGAAAGGTCCGATTGCATTCACAAATTGCACGGAAAGAGTTATTTTTTGTGGGTTTTGTAACAAGCGTGCAAGTAATAAGGAGAGTCCGGGGAAAAGATTGAAATATAACTACTAAGATAGCGGCCAGTTGAATTTGCAGAGGAATCGTGTGTTTGTATGCACGAGGATGATGACAAGTGGAGCACTAGGAAAATCCATTTCTTTCCCGCCTTGGCCTCAAGACTGCCGCTTCACAGCAATGGTTATGACTTATATGGGTGCCTGCAAAATTGTCGTAGTGAATGGTGATTCAGTTTCTTGAGTTAACTGGAATTTGAATCAGAAGCTTTTGTGCACAAGATCAGGAAATCTGTTTAGCTTTTAATGAGGGGATAATTTCAGAAACCTCCCTTGAGGTTTCTACAATTTTACTCAGCTCCCCCCGAGATTTCAATAATTACATATATTTCCCTTGGTCCAATCAAATGACTAAAATGTCCCCCACTTAATAGTTAATTCATAAAAGAACATTTAAAGCCGAAAAATATATCTTATTATTATATTTGCCATTTTTTAACCTCAAAGAACAATCTCCATTAATTTTTTAATTTTCACCTTTTCTTCCACCTTCTATTTTTTTTTCATACTCTTCTCTCTTTTTCTCTTACAACTGCTTCCCCCTTTTGCCAAAAATCGCACTTCATTATTATCAACCATATCACTATCAATTTTTTACCATCTCCAAAATTTATCTGTATTTTTTTGTTTTCTTGTCTCTTTCTTACTATAAAAATTTTAGACCCTTTCTTTCTTTTTTTTCATTAGTTTTACTGTTTACAAATGTTTGCTAGTTAAAGTTGCCAAATTAACAAGGTGCAGGCTATGGATTTTATTGTCAAACTTGAGGAAGATGAGAAAAGTGGCAGTGATATAGGGAAAAAAATGAAATTGAGAGTTGGAAAATAAAGAAATGACTATTATGTTTGTTAAGCAAAAAAGTCTAGCAATTAAAAAACTCATTGAGTCTCTCTTTTATTTACCTATTGATTATGATTTTACTATAAAGGTAGAATTTTGTCTCTATTTCTAAGAGTGCTAGATCAATGATGAATTATGTTCTTAGGGACATGGGGAATTTTTTGGTTTAGTATTGGTAGTAGTGGTAGTGAGTTGCATAGGCAAGAATTAGTAAGTAATGAATTTTGAGATGAGCTGGAATCACTGGACTCTGTTTGCTTTAGTGAATATGCCACGTACAAGAATACAAAAGATTAAAATATTGTTTTGTTTTGTCTTGTTCTTTGGAAGAAGACTATTTTTAGGATATTTGTGAAAAATTATAGGTTATTGGATCTATATTGTTACATAAACCTTAAAGGGAGGGAGATAGGTGTAATTTTTGAAACTTGAAGGGAGAATTGTTGGAAACCTCAAGGGAGGTTTAAGAAATTATTCCCTTAATGAGAGTAATTGTTTTTCAAAGTGACAAATTTATTCTTTTCAGTGTAGAGCATTTTTGTCATTTCAAGGGAAAATTGCACTCGTACTAACATGCCATGGAAATTGAAATATTATTTGCCTGTCATTTTAGAAGAAAATTGGCAAATTGCTATTGTACTGACGTACCAACTATGGCAATATTTTTTGCGTTATTATGAAATTTGGTTTTGCAGCAGAATGGTGAAATGTGATGGAATGGAAACTAAAGTGGCATCGCGATCTAGAAACTGCAAAATAGATGTAGTCAAGAAAATGCTAAAGCAAAAAGAGTAAATTGCCTGCCAACTTTGGGTTTGAAGTCACATTCTTGAATAAAGATGTACAGGCAGTGGAAGAGATTTGGGTTTGAATTGCACAAGCTTAATTTTGTTCCTCTGTTCTTCGATCGAGTTGATCTTCAAGATTAAACTTCAGGCAATTTGGAATACGAAAATCCATCCACTATGTCTCAGAAGTGGTAAGCTTTTCTAGTATGAATTCATAATAAAATAGTGAAAGGATTACATATTGCTGAAAAGGAAAAAGTTACATTCAAGTAGTACATATTTAATGCCTTTTTTTTTTCTGGAGAAACTTCTTAGCTTGGTTTCAATCTAGGACTTTGATAGAGTGCGCCCTGGTGCCCACGAATAAAATTCAGTAGGCAAAGTACCGTTAGTAAGCAAATTCTGTGGCAGTCCATAGATATCTGAACAATCAACATGGTGGCGCTGCCTACTGTTATGGTACTGCTGGCTCTGAACTGCAGCAGCAGGAACCACTTCATCATCATCTAGTGGCAAGCGATCAAAAGTAGCATTCATGAAACTTGCAGCCATGATCACCACAGGGCCTGATGCAATCAGCGCACCAACCACTCCCCCTCCCACAACCTGCCCTTGAGGCCCTGCGAGATAGATTGTAAGGCCAGCCACCCCTTGTGGTGCTGGTGGAGGCAGAACTGATCCAAGCAATGATAGAATCTCAAACCTGCCATGCAGTGTAACAATTGCACCTGATGAAGTTGGTTGGCGTAACGTGACATTGGTTACACAACCTGTTGCATTGAGTACAGAAATGCCCCGTTGCTTCCTCCTTGCAAAGCTTAACAAGCTCTCACTTACATCACAGCCAGAGTTCACTTCCATTGCGTGTGCCCGGAGTGCATTTGCACTGTCCCTTGTGATGATAATGGGGGGTTTAGGCTTGTTCTTGGATCCAGCCGGCCTTCCACGAGGTCTTCGATTTGCTTCTCCATCACCTGTTGAGGATAGTGATTTTACTGCTTTTGGCCGTGTTGGAGTCACAAGCAATCCCCTTGCCTCCACTCCTGGCCTGTGGTTACTGCCTCCATCTAGTTCTGGACTGCGTTCCATGTTGCCATTAGATGCAACAACAGAAGGTGTAACGTCTGCACCGCCAGCCATCACTTCACAGCTTACCTTATTTAGGACAGATTGGTGGAATGGCTGCCTGCATTTACAGCGTGGGTTTAAGTAGGGGACTTTTCCAGATAAATCAATAATAGAAACCAAAGGAATGATTAGTGATTAGGAGATAGTTAAGTAGCATCAATAATAAGATTAATATTCTTATACTGTAATTTTCTCCTCTGCCTACTTTCCAACAAATTTTTCTCTCATGTCAATTGCCTTCCACAACAAATATGCGCTCAACTCCCTTAATCTATTCCAGTACTTGAGCTACCATGTCATTTGCAAGCCTTTAAAAAGGCAAAGTTTAACATTCAAGTATTGCTTGCAATGCAGCCAGAATAAATACAATGAAACTATACATACAGACAACTAATTTCGTTCTTTCTGTTATTGAGCACTAGAACTCCTACCTAAGCATCGAGGAAAGGAGCGCAGGCTATCCATTTTTCTGGATCTTTAAAATTTTCTAAATCTTTCTCCAATTGAATTAAATGGAGAGAAACTTTAAATTGCAGCTGATTTATCGAAGAAAACGCTTCCTTTCAGTTGGACTACCGAAGAAATTAGAATTGAAAACCTGTCCTCTGACATGATGAAAAATTAATTAGCATTTGGTCAGGACCCTGAAAAATCTCAGAGCCCCTCATAAAGTTTTAAAGCCTTAAACCAATAGTAAGGTGCTGTTGTCGAATAAAGAGACTTGACTTATTGCAAAATAATCAAGAAAATTTTGCGTATTAGTATATGTTTGATCAGGCCTACAGACTTGTGCAGCAATTAGTCCATTAAAGAGTACATCTCATTGACTCGTGAACTTCCCCATCCACCTAATTCATTTTCATTATGCCATATTCTGATGGAAAATTGGTTATTATATCCTCCGGATGGTGCAATTAATCTTTGTTCTATCGCAATCATATTAATATGAGAGAAAACTATACTATATTTATCTGGTTTAGATTCACTTGTTATTTGTTAAGCACATTTGTTTTTGAAAATGCTTTTGCATGTTTTTAAATGGAACAAAAGCAGGCAAATAATTACAGTCTGTGTTTGTAAATTCTTTTGCATGTTTGTATTTTCTATTAATAGGAACTACTCCATTCAAACAACAGCAGGACAGCTATCGACTAAACGACCCACCCTTCATTTTCTCCTCTTGTTGTAACGGATTGTCTCCCCCTTCATTTTCTCGTACAGGAAAATTGCCATTCAATAGAAGTCCAACGCACATAGAGAATCAGAATAGGAAAAAAAGGACAGGTCTGCATGGTAGCATCCTATAACAAAATAATTCTTCGGTGGGGGAGAACTCAAAAGAAGGAAGAAGCAAGGGGTTCCAACTTCCAAGCAAAGGGCGCAAATACGAAAAGGAGGCACCATGAGAGCTAGTCCTTCAATCATTCGTTTCATATCCATTCTTTCAGCATTGCTTATTCCCACATTTGCTGAAAAGAAGGTAAACATATTGTTGCATGCCTACCTTGAATTAGCATGTTATGATTTTGTTGTATATTGACAAACAAAATAAATGCTAATCTGGATAATGTGTCTGTTTATGTCGACTAGTCTTATGTAGTGTACCTGGGATCTCATTCACGTGATTCAGAAATAGAAGTCTCAGCTGTTGAATATGAGAGAGTAAGAAATTCCCATTTTACGCTCCTCGGATCATTCTTAGGGAGGTAAGTAGTTGATGTCTGTGTTTCTGAAGAAATCCAAATCCTATGCATTTTATCCATGTTCAGAGTTTGATGTCTAACGTACACTTCATGCTTTGATTTCTACCAACAGTGAGGAAAAGGCCCAAGAATCGATTTTCTACTCTTATACAAGACATATCAACGGCTTTGCTGCAGTACTTGATGAGGCAGAAGTTGATCAGATATCTAGTAAGCAATTTGGAATGCTTCTTCTTGAGTTATTTTTGGGCTGCTTTTCTTTGCATTGTTGATTAACATTTTCATCTTAACTCAGAACATCCGGATGTCATATCTGTGTTCTTGAACCGACCAAAGAAATTACACACGACCAGGTCATGGGAGTTTATGGGGCTAGAGCACGATGGCCAAATCCAGCCATCATGGACCGAGGCAAGATTTGGTGAGGACGCCATTATTGCCAACCTTGACACTGGTGAGTTTGCTGCTTAGGTCCCTACAATAACATCTACTTTTATGTATGTATCTATAGCGAATTGGCTGCAGTAAAAATGCATGGAAGCCAAGGATGATTTAGATATTGATAGAGTCAATTACCCAGAATAATGCATTAGTCTACTTACTTCCTTTAGCCCCATTTTCTTTTGGCAATTGCTAGCTTTTCTGTCCTTCTCCATCCTTAAAATTTGCTTTGTGAGATTGAATCAGGTGTCTGGCCAGAATCGAAAAGCTTCAGCGATGAAGGGTTTGGGCCAATTCCACCCAGGTGGAAAGGAATTTGTCAAAATGGTCAAGACCCAACCTTCAAATGCAACAGGTAACGTTTCTTTATATGCGTTCATTTCATCTATTACAGTTTTCACAAGATTCTTTTTTTCTATACGCATATGCAGATGTTTTTCATATATGTGAAGTAGCTTGACAAATTTGGCTAACAAGTTATAGGAAGCTTAGGAGAGCGAGATTTTCCTCTATCCTTGACAGATTTGGTTTGCTTCAGAAGTTCTTAAATTTTCAACAAAACTTTTCATACAAGATTATTAGAACAAAATTTTCGATGTCTTATTTTAGGCGTATAGAGATCTCCACATGAGATTTTAAGAACCAATGACTTTTGCAGTTACAATAAAATGAATCGCATCTCTGCTTTCAGCTATATATGACAGACAGAATGCGAGTCTTGAAGGTCTCAACCTGCTTGAACAAAAGATAATTAAACTTCTGAACATTTTAAAGAAACTCATCTGCATTCACTAACATGGTTATCAATTATACACACAAAAGGAAACTCATTGGAGCAAGATTCTTCAACAAAGGATATTTTGCTGCTGTTGGAGGTACCGTAAATTCAAGTATTTTTGACTCACCGAGGGACACTGAAGGCCATGGATCCCATACATTATCAACAGCCGGTGGTAATTTTGTACCTGGAGCAAGTTTATTTGGATTAGGAAATGGAACAGCAAAAGGTGGATCACCAAAAGCACGAGTCGCAGCTTACAAGGTTTGCGGGCCAATGACATTCGAGGGCTCATGCTACGACGCAGATATTTTGGCGGGCTTTGATATGGCTATCTCCGATGGTGTTGATGTGATTTCAGTATCACTTGGAGGACGACCTCAACCCTATGAAGAAGATAGTATTGCAATTGGCTCATTTCATGCTGTTAAGCATGGCATTGTAGTGGTCTGCTCAGCGGGTAACGCGGGACCTGATCTTGCTACTGTTTCCAATGTTGCACCCTGGCTGATAACAGTTGGGGCAAGCACCATGGATCGAAAGCTTGCTACTTTTCTAAATCTCGGCAACAACATAAGCCTCGTTGTCAGTATTTTATCTCTTCACTCCTCTTTTCTAATTTCAGCAGTCTAGTTTGTTTGCATATTTAAGTTACAAGATTCATTTCTTGATTAGATGTTTCTTCCCTACAGGGAGCGAGCTATTCAGATAAAAGATTGCCAAACAACACCTTCTTTCCCATTGTTACTGCTGCGTCTGTTAAAGCTACCAATGCATCAGATTCTAATGCGTAAGGATGAAATGCACTGACTTTTGAATTAATTAGACCCCTAAGGTGATTTCATGCCCTTATAGTAGGGCTGCAAACGAATCGAGCCGTTCGCGAGCGGCTCGAGTCAAGCTCGAGTCGAGCTCGATGTTAATCGAACTCGAGTCGAGCTCGAGCCGGCTCGAGTCAAACTCGAGCTCGAGCTCAGAATATTAAGCTCGTTAGCTCGCGAGCCGGCTCGCGAGCTTGGGTATATATATATATATTTTTTTTTATTTTTTTTATTTAATAATAAAATTACGTATATTATATATATATTTTTTATTTTTTATTTTCATAGTAAAATTACGTATATGTCCTTAATATTTTATTATTTATTAAGAAAAAAATATTATTTTATTTATTTTTTTTAAAATAAAATATTTATTTTTTATTTTTTTTCGAGCTCGAGCTCGAAATTTGCCGGCTCGTCGAGCTCGAGCTTGGCAAAATTTAGTCGAGACTCGGCTCGATTAGCTCAAAGCTCGACTCGACTCGGCTCGTTTGCAGCCCTACCTTATAGGCAGAAATCATCCCATACTTATTATTTCCTTCTTCTTGCAGCACCTTTTGTATGGCAGGATGCCTGGATCCCATTAAAGCAAAGGGCAAGATCGTGGTCTGCCTGACAGGGGAAAATGGTATAGTGGAGAAGGGAATAAATGCTGCTTCGGCTGGTGCTGTAGGAATGGTTCTTGCCAATGATGTATCTGATGGGAACGAGATATCTAGTGATGCTCATGTGCTTCCTGCTGTACAAATTCGTTACACTGACGGAGCTGCTGTTTTTGCCTATATCAATTCTACAGTGTAAGAAGAGATAAAACAACAATATCATAGCATGCAATAGATCTTATTCCATGATAATCATGAGCATCCACAGTTAACAACTAACCAGCAAAATGACTCATGGCCCTGCCAGTGCTCATGGGTGACATTTTTTTCATTAAAACAACTCATTCACAGAGCACGCATTCTCCTCTCCCTTTTTGTTTCTGAATATTCAATGCTTTAGCAGGAATCCTACGGCTTATATTTCACCTCCATCGACTCTACTGGGCATAAAGCCAGCTCCAGTCATGGCACCATTTTCATCAAGGGGACCTAACACTGTGACACCAGAGATTCTCAAGGTTATTATATCAAAGCTAGGTTGCTTTTTTTTTTTCTTGGTTTATCTAGTATACTACTTTTTTGGCTCCCTGATATCGCTATCCTATATGACCTATTTTCAGCCTGATATCACTGCGCCAGGAGTAGATGTGATAGCTGCTTACTCTGAAGCACAGGGGCCAACAGGTGAAAGTTTTGATAAACGCCGAACCCCCTACTTCGTTGATTCAGGCACTTCAATGTCCTGCCCTCATGTTTCTGGCATTGCCGGCCTTCTCAAGACTCTCCATCCGGACTGGAGCCCTGCAGCAATCAGATCTGCAATCATGACCAGTGGTAAGTCCTCACAATCTTTGATTTCATAAACATTTTACACTAGATAATCAATGACGCCAACTCTGAAATGTTTATCCAATCATTTCATGCATGCCATATATAATAATCAGCAATTTGACACATGGACTCGATTCTATTCTGCAGCAAGAACTAGGGATAATGCTGTAGAGCGAATTACAGATGATGGTCATATAAAAGCAACACCATTTGCCTACGGAGCAGGACATGTTCATCCATCCCAGGCTATGGATCCTGGACTGATTTATGATCTAACAAACCAAGATTACCTGACCTTTTTATGTTCACTAGGCTATAATGAAACCAACATTTTGTTGTTTACACATGAAACTTTTACGTGCCCCAAGCCAATTAGTCTCGTCAACTTGAATTACCCCTCAATAGCAGTTCCAAAACTGAATGGTTCAATCACAGTGACTAGAACTGTAAAAAATGTTGGCTCCTCCCCCGCTACCTACACTGCCCTCGTTGTCAACCCTCCAGGGTTGTCTGTGGATGTACAACCAAAAACACTTGCTTTTGCAACGATTGGTGATCAGAAAAGCTTCAATGTCACAATTACAGCTACAAAAGCTGGTGCAAATAGAGATTATGTGTTTGGGATGTTGACATGGTCAGATGGGAAGCACTATGTGAGAAGTCAAATTGCTGTTAAGGCATCAGACTAACCAGATGGGAAGCACTATGATCAAATTGCTGTTCTCCATGATTGACTTGTAATATCTTGATATAAAAATTGTCTGTAAATTGTAAGACGTGAAGAAATTGCAGTTCCCAGTTAAGTTGCATTTTCTTACTAGATCCTCACTTACAGTTCAAATCAGGAAAAAATTGTCGATTTCTCTCCACAATGAAACGAAGATCACTAATAATAAAAGTTACAATATTGTTAGCTCATTGACAGTGGAAGCTAACCACTAAAACCACCATGCTAAGCCACAGAATCTGCGTAGCAAGTGAATGTGGGTATATCTCATACTATCTACTATTACTGTTTACCGTCCAAAAATCACAAACTTGAGGTCAATTTGAAGAGTCATGACAAGGTTTACTGGCAACGCATGGGGGCAAAGGAAAAAGAAATTCAGAATAATGTTGGTACCAGAAAAAAAAAAAAAAAAAAGAGCAGGCCTTTGCACAAAGTTCAGTCATTACTGAAAGATTCTTAGGATGAAAAGTCAGTCACTTGAAGAGTAAAGGAGAGGAACTCAAACATTCAACGTTGCCAACAAACCTAAAGTGAATGAGCAAAGACCAACTTAAGTTTGGAAAGTAAATCACAGAACAATTCAGGAGGATGTGCAATAGGACATGTAGAAGGAATTTGCAATGGTTCAGGATCTTGCATAACATCATCCTCTCGTTAAATTCAAGCTCTAAACCGACACTAGGTACCTTTTCTCAAATACAAGAGGAGACTTGACTAATTGCAAATCTTGCAGAACAACTCTTGAATTGTAACTTTGATCAACCTCACAAACTTGTTCTGCAATTAGTCCATCAAAGAGTATATTTCATTGACTCGGGTATGCAACATTCCACCAGCTACAAATTCATGAACTTCCCCATCCACTTCAATTGAACTACAGCCTGGTCGTTTCTCTATTTGCTTCTCCTTCATTAAAATCCTCTCATGTATTGCTTCCTCAAAATAGCCTGAGGCTGCATAGGCATTGAGCATTGATAGATAAGCACAGCTGTCATCTGGATCCAACTGAATCAAATTCATAGCTGCCCATTTAGCCATCTCAATATTTCCATGGCTCTGAGCAGCTGATAGTAGAGACCCCCATATGGTAGCATCAGGGCACATTGGCATACTTCTGATGAGCTCTTCTGCTTCTCCAAGGTGTCCTGCTCGGCCTAGTGCATCAACCAGGCAACCATAATGCTGAATCAATGGTTCAATCTCATACTTGTCCTTCATTAATCTGAAATAGTTTCTTGCTTCATTGACTAAACCAGAGTGATTGCAGGCAGTTAAAACACTAAGAAAACTAACAGAATCTGGTGCAAGGCCTGAGGATTCGAGCCTCGAGAATACCTGAATTGCTTCAGTTTCAAATCCATTGATTCCTAAGCCAAAAATCATCGAGTTCCAGCATGATAATCCTTTTCCTGGAGCAGTCTCGAATACCTGACGTGCCATTTCAATGTCACCACACTTGTGGTACATGTTAATAAGCGCTGTTATCACAATAGCATTCTTCTTGATACTAGTTTTCTTCATCATATACTCATGTATCCAGTTTCCTTGGTCTAATGCCCCTAAAAATGCTGATGCATTCAATAAACTCACGAATGTATACTCACTTGGTTCAACACTTTGCTCTTGCATTTTACCAAAAAGATCCAGTGCCTCCATCCATTTCCCATTCTTCACGAAACCACTTATCATACTATTCCAAGAAACGTCATTTCTGAAAGGCATTTTATTGAACAACCTCCATGAATAGTCAATTTCCCCATATTTAGCTAGCCCCGAAATCATTGAATTCCAGGCCACAACATCCACAATCTCATCCTCATCAAACAGTTTTCTAGCTTCATTCAAACACCCACAATTGGCATACATGTTTAACATTGTGTTTCGTATAAAGGGATCAAATACTAGCCCTAGTTTCACAATCCTTCCATGAAGTTGAGCTCCCTCAGCAGCTAATCCAAGTTGAGTATATGCCTTGAAAACTGAAGGATAAGTAAGCCTCTCAGGTTGAACGTGCGAACTTTCCAACATTTGTACAAAAAGAGAGAGTGAAGTTTCCGGGGATGAGCTTTGTGAGAAGCCTCTGATTATTGTGTTCCAAGTGAAAAGATTTGGATTGTCCATTTGACTGAAGACTAAATAAGCATAATTCACATCACCGGCAGGAGATGTGGCACAAAAGGCTAAGACTCTGCTAGCTGCAATCTTATCCTGGATCAGGCCTGTTTTGATGAGTTGGGCATGAATCAGTTTTAAGTCTTTCATGGTGGTGCATTTGGTTTCTAGCATGGAAAGGTACGGATTGTCTGAGATAAACTTTGATATAGAGGCTGATTGTGGAAGATATGAGCAAGAACATTTTAACATTTGAGTTGGTTCTTCTATCCGTTGATCACTTCTAAAGAAAAAATGAATCTGTGATATCAAATTTCGGCCATGAACAGGAGGTTCTTGCAAATTCTACTGAAAGTCCACCCAGAGAAACAGATAAGATGTCTCACTTACTCCTGGCCTCAAATGCTACATCACTCAATCCTACACATTTTGTATTTTGTCACAAGAAGCTAAGAAATACAAGGTTTCAAAATCGGCTTTTAGATTTTTCTTTAATTTATACGGTTATCTTTGGACCAATAATTGCTATCGCTTTTACTGTTGGAATTATTATTAAAATGGAAGAAATGCAATCAAGTTTCTAAGGGATGGTCAGTCCACTAATAACACATAAATCAATTCAATTTGGAAAAAAAAAAAAAAGCTAAATCAATTAACATTTAAAAATATTCAATTAATTAGCTAAAGACAGACTCTAGTATTATTTTACTTCAGAAGATTCGTTAGCCATTATCAATTGTAATCTTTGGTGGTCTTTATCAAACACATCCTGGAATTTAAGATCAAGCCAACGGAACAACCAAGAAGCCACTTTACTTGCAGCTAACTAAAGATGGCCAAAAAAATAACTACTATATGATTCCCGCAGAAATTTCAAGAACCAATTGGTCAAAAGTACACAGTTTAGCTAGGATTTGTGAAGATCCATATCCACTTTAAAGTTTAAACACATATGCTTTCCTATATATAGTTTACTTTCTACAGGACCCCTCTTAACAACAATATGCCACTTTTGGGCATAGATTTAGCCGCAACTCCTGTGAAACTGATTGCTAAACACAAGGGATAATTTCAGAAACCACCCCTGAGGTTTCTGACAATTTCATTCGCCTCTCCTGAAGTTTGTAAAATTACACAAACCTCCCTTACGGTTATGATTTTGATAACAAAGTTAATCCAATTAGAAAAAGTAACGTTAAAAAAGTACTTTAAGGAGAGAGATGAAACTTTTATTTCATAAATACCCCTTATGCATGTATATAAGTAATATTAGTAAAAGAATAAAAATAATTAAAAGTCGGAAACAATTAACACACAGATTTAACCGCTCAAAAAGTTCATATTTAATAAATTAGATAACATAAATAAGTAACAAAACTACACTAACGATTTACAAGATGCAGCAAAACAGACTAGTCACCTCTTTCAATATGATGTTTACTATGATTCTTGTGATTTTGAATAAAAAATTTTCGAATTTTGTCTTTCTTGTCCTTCCTTTCAATTTTGTTGAAACTCTTAAAGTGGTGACAATTGTAAGGGAATTTCATCAAAATAAAGGAGACAATTGTAAAGTCATTTCCTAGAAATAAGGGAGAAATGAGGGAAAAGAAAGACAAAATTTGAAAACTTTTCTAATCATTGGTGCAATTTTGTTGCTTATTTGTGTTGTTTAATTTATTAAATGTAAACTTTTTGAGTAGTTAAATGTGTGTATTAATTGTTTCTAATTTTTAATTATTTTTATTCTTTTACTAATACGACTTATATATATGCATAAGGGGTATTTATAAAATAAAAGCTCATCTCTCTCCTTGAAGTATTTTTTTAATGTTACTTTTTCTAATTGGACTAACTTCGTTATCAAAACTTTAATCTCAAGGAAGGTTTGTGTAATTTTACAAACTTTAAAAGAGGCTAGTGAAATTGTCAGAAACCTCAGGGAGGTTTCTGAAATTATCCCTAAACACGACCATAAACATTTGTTGTTTGGGTGATAAGCTCAATCTAGACTAAGCTTTCATTCTGAACATGCTTCTTTTTATATGCAAAATCATGTACAAGCGTTCACAATGGTTGGTCAAGAATCAAGATCCACAGCTGTGGGCCTTTTGCTCAAGGAAGCGTGAAGAAGTGGGGTTTGATACTTTGATCTCGATAGGAATTTTGATAGAAAATACAGGTATATAAAAATATGGTTGGGTAATCTTTATTCTGCTTTTTTTTTTTCCCCGTTTGTTCTGGTTTTATCTGTACACATTACAGATTTTTTAGTACATTTTCTGTCAATGTATTATTTATTTACATTGAACCTGGTATATTTACTTGTATAGGATATGTGAGGCTACAATTTCCTCGGATCAGAAGGTTCTGACAAGTAGAAGTGCTAGTTTATATCCAACCACAAAATAAAGAACGACAAAAAAAAAAGAAGGAGATGAGCACCATTTCCATAGACAAGTGTCTGATCCCATCGTCTTTTCTTGAGCCCTCAATGTACCAGAGAGATGAAGAAACTAGGAATCAGTTTCCTCTGCTATAATATACTGTTGCAGAGAACATCAACACCATCTCCTTTCCTAAAGGAAAATCTTGACAAGATAGTTTCGCCAAAAAGAGTTAAAAATTCAAAGGTGAAGAAATCTTGACATACTGCTATTGCACCAGGACTGAAAGTCAAGCGCGATGCAGTTGGTAGACATAGTCCTGGTCACATAACAACCCAACCAAAAACATAGAAACTGAAATCTTGGATGAAATTTAACGGTATTTCTTGCTTTTATTGTGACTTTTTGGAAAATTTTGCTGCCCAATTAGATAAAAAGACTAATGAGAATCTTTTCTTTAGAGCAAGGGACAAATTTCCACCCCTTTTGACACACAATATGTTGACAAAAATCCCAGATGAGGGAGGACAAATTTGGGAATCTAAGGCTTGATAATTGAATATTGAGATGAGACCAGCCTAGGTCCACAATCCCATTAAGTCAGATTTAGAAGAATAACAGTAAATGCTTTCCAGTTTCCACACAGTTGGCTATTGGGTAATAGCTACTAGATTTAAAGATTTAGTCCTATGAAACAGTGAAAGTAGAATCCCACGAGAGAGAAAAAGAGAAATTGCACAGATCATGACCATCATTACTATCATCACTACTTCAACCCACATTATACAACTTAAATTCCAAACAATTCCCTCTTTAGCTTTCTTCTCTTCTCCTCCTTCCACCTCCTCCCTCCTTTTTGCACCCTTTTCTTTTCCCTCTTGCTCCCTCAATTCCCCTCCCACCCCATGTCTCAAGTCTTCTCCTTTTCTCTCTTCCACATCAGGACACCTCACTTACTTCTCAACATTTTTCTATGTATATATCTTGAAGGTTAGCTCAAGTCCCCTTCTTTTCAACAAGTTCATCATGCTCCTTTATTTCTGATATGGCTTGGCTCGCCCTTTTTTAGTCTTAGCTAAGCTCGCAACAGAACCTGATAGCAGTGCGAATTGCAGAAGAAAGTATAGAGCCACGAGGAGGAGGAGAAGAGGTTAGAAACTTTAAAAGGATGGGTACAAGGATTGTTAGTTGTCATATTTTCATCCAACTCATGACTTATCTTTTGCTCTGTTCAGGTGATTAATTATCTTTGACATTTTTTCAACATCATAATTATGTCTGTCTTTCTTATTCATTACTTCAGCTAGTCTCTATTGTGAAAAGGGTATCTAATTCCATCTTTTATTTCAACTAAGAATTGCTTTCTGCTTTATTCTGTTTTCATGAGATTCTAAACCTGTTCATGCATGCTTTCTTTGTGTCTTCTATTTTTTTTTTTTTTTTTTGTTTGGGATTCCAATCCATCTGAATGTTGTTAACTGCAATTCATTAAGTGCATTTTTTTTTTTTTTGGAAATGTTTCATGTTTAAACTTTGTATGTATGTTGATAAGCTGATCTTCATATGTAGGTGCATTTTGTTGTGAATTTCCAATTTCTTATGTTACTATCCAAAAGGACTTGCTTTCTACTGGCACATTTTGCTTCTAAAAAAGAGAGCACAATGCTAATGCATTCAAAGATTTAACGATGGCTCAATTAATTATTCAAGTTTCTTCTTTTCACTACGATCCTTCCTCAAATCTTGAATTGTTGGAGTATTTTTAGAGGCTGTTCTTAGCACTTGGCAGTTGGGACTCTCATCATTCAATAGGGCGGTTACGTAAAGTTTAGTTGCTTTAATAGTATAATGAAATCCTAAACTAAAGTCATTTCTTAATAGTTTCTGCAATCTACTCGGTTAATGGATGCTTCTGTTTCTGAAAAGCCATCCTCCAACACAACAAGATGCATTTACCTAAAAAGTAAAACATAATTTACTAAAGGATGTTCATCCATACAAGGATGAAATCATGGAACTATACATTGACAAAGGCAGAAGCAATCAATCCTAATCAGGGCAACACGTTCTCATCATAGTCTTCATCTCTGTTGGAAAGAATTCTGTTGTTTCATTGAGTGTGTGCCATACTCACCCAAGAAAGCAATTGATCAGTTGAATTGTTCTGTTTCCAATTCCAGCATCAGTTGCCAGAGAGAAAGAAGCAGAAGTGCAGAACAAAATCCCACACCATAAAGTAGGAAAATTGCAAGCTTTTCTGTCAATCTCCCCAACAGAGAAGGATATTACAACCCCTATAACGACACTTCCAACAACAAATCCTCTGAACCCCACTGCAACAAATCCAACTTTAAATCCAACAGTTTCAAATCCTGATTCAGCTTCAACAACAACCAATCCAGCCAATCCATTGATGACAACGTCTCCTCTATCTTCAAGTGCAAGCTGGTGTATTGCAAGCCAATCTGCGTCACAAACTGCATTGCAGGTTGCATTGGATTATGCCTGTGGATACGGAGGAGCCGATTGTCAAGCTATTCAGGCCGGTGGCAATTGCTACTATCCAAATACAGTTCATGATCACGCTTCTTATGCTTTCAATAGCTACTATCAGAAGAATCCAATTCCAAATAGCTGCAATTTTGGTGGCACTGCTGTTCCTACTAGCACTGATCCAAGTAAGTAACATTTCCATGAAATGTTTCTACTCAAACACAAGATATAATCACTCTGCAGATATGAACACAAGAACTTGCCGCCTGTGCATTTGCTAGTTCCTTTTTGCATTAAACCGAAATCTCATTCAGGCAAGAAAGTTTTCATTGAAGGGCTGAAACTTTTTGGCTCCGTATAAGGATTAATTTTACTTTGTACTCCAAACTTAATTTTGAATCCTGTTACACTATAAACCATTATATTTGTCCCACTTAAATCCAATCAGTAACAGTTTTAACAAAACTAATGGAATAGAAGACCATGCCCGCAATGTACACATATGCCTCAGCCACTCTTAGAGTGCAAGGTATTCAAAATTGAAGCTTAGATTACAAAGAAAAGA